TGCCAAAGAGAAGCTACACCACTACCCGGGGGGGCCACCTCCAGCGAGGGGGTCCACGACGCCTCCCCCAGCTGGGGCCAGGGGGGTGCCTCGAGCGAGAGGCAATGGGCCACACCGCCAGGAGGAACCTGCCTGGCGCCTGGCGCTGGTGGTGGTGTTGTCGCCTATACTTTTTGCTAGAGAACGGGCTGACTGAAGGCTGCGCGCCCAGGGAGAAGGCGCGCCACAGGAGGCTCAGGAAGTTTCTGGCCGTCTGAGAGCCTTTTTTTCCAACCATCCTGTGGTGTTGGGTCCTCGTTTTGAAGAGACAGCGCCCCGCGTCTCACCTCCCGCTGCCCTCCTCTCTTCTCCCATCATCGTCATCATCATCATCATCATCATCATCATCATCATCATCGTCATCATCACCACTAGCATCATCATCGTCATCATCATCGCCATGGCCATTCGTTTCCAACCATCCTGTGGTGTTCGCATGGCGGCCCCGCCCCATTCTGGCGCACCCCTCCCACGGTTCGTGGCCCCATAGGGAGCTCCACCGAAGGCCCCAGTGGCTGTTTTTCGCATGGCGGCCCCGTCCCATTCTGGCGCACCCCTCACACGGTTCGTGGCCCCATAGGGAGCTCCACCGAAGGCCCCAGTGGCTGCGTTCGCATGGCGGCCCCGCCCCATTCTGGCGCACCCCTCACGAGGATCGTGGCCCCATAGGCAGCTCCACCGAAGGCCCAGTGGCTGCGTTCGCATGGCGGCCCCGCCCCATTCTGGCGCACCCCTCACACGGTTCGTGGCCCCATAGGGAGCTCCACCGAAGGCCCCAGTGGCTGCGTTCGCATGGCGGCCCCGCCCCATTCTGGCGCACCCCTCACACGGTTCGTGGCCCCATAGGGAGCTCCACCGAGGGCCCCAGTGGCTGCGTTCGCATGGCGGCCCCGCCCCATTTCGGCGCACCCCTCACACGGTTCGTGGCCCCATAGGGAGCTCCACCGAAGGCCCCAGTGGCTGCGTTCGCATGGCGGCCCCGCCCCATTCTGGCGCACCCCTCACACGGTTCGTGGCCCATAATGAGCTCCACCGAAGCCCCAGTGGCTGCGTTCGCATGGCGGCCCCGCCCCATTCTGGCGCACCCCTCACACGGTTCGTGGCCCCATAGGGAGCTCCACCGAAGGCCCCAGTGGCTGCGTTCGCATGGCGGCCCCGCCCCATTTGGCGCACCCCTCACACGGATCGTGGCCCCATAGGGAGCTCCACCGAAGGCCCAGTGGCTGCGTTCGCATGGCGGCCCCGCCGCATTTTCGGCGCACCCCTCACAGGATCGTGGCCCCATAGGGAGCTCCACCGAAGGCGCCAGTGGCACGCGCCGGCGGCCCCGCTCCCCATTTCGGCGCACCCCTCACGAGGATCGTGGCCCCATAGGGAGCTCCACCGAAGGCCCCAGTGGCAGCGTTCGCATGGCGGCCCCGGGCCATTTCGGCACACCCCTCACGAGGATCTTGGCATCATAGGGAGCTCCACCGAAGGCTCCAGTGGCTGCGTTCGCATGGCGGCCCCGGGCCATTTCGGCACCCCCCTCACGAGGATCGTGACCCCATAGGGAGCTCCACCGAAGGCCCCAGTGGCAGCGTTCGCATGGCGGCCCCGCCCCATTTCGGCGCACCCCTCACACGGCTGGTGGCCCCATAAGGGAGCTCCACCGAAGGCTCCAGTGGCAGCGTTCGCATGGCGGTCCCGGGCCATTTCGGCACACCCCTCACGAGGATCGTGGCATCATAGGGAGCTCCACCGAAGGCTCCAGTGGCTGCGTTCGCATGGCGGCCTCGGGCCATTTCGGCGCACACCTCACGAGGATCGTGGCCCCATAAGGGAGCTCCACCGAAGGTCCCCATTGGCAGTGTTCGCATGGCGGCCTCGGGCCATTTCGGCAGACCCCTCATGAGGATCGTGGCCCCATAGGAGCTCCACCGAAGGCGCCAATGGCAGTCTTCCTCATGGCTCTCAGAACCCTTTCCTGCTTCTGCTCTTCGGTCAGGGGGACGCCGTCCTCGTGGTCGTCGGCGCCCGCGAAGACGGCCACAAACGTGTCCCTGAGCATGTCGGGTTCCGGCGGGAAGCCGTGGCCACAGGGAGCGCGGGCGAAGATGGTATTCACAATTGCTGTATCCACAATTGCGTATGGTTGGGTCCTTCGCCAGGCTAGTTTTCCAAGCCTTCTCCGAGGCCACGGGCGGTTTCTCAGAAGCCCTCCGGGCTTCTGGATACCCCCGCCGCCATCCGAGAGGGCCCGCCCCCTCTCTCACTGCCTCCCCTTCGGCGCGCCGCCGCGAAGACTGGGATGATGGAGGGTTCAGCGGCGCGCATAAGTCAAAGCACAAATTCCAGACGCGTCGCGTAAACCCACCAGCCCATCTAGAGACGATGCCCAAGCGAGTTGCCCTGATCAGGCATGTCGGCGAGCACAGATTGGAAGAAAGGCTGGAAAGCCGTCATGCCCCAAGCGGGCGAGGATAGTTTAGGAACCAGCGCGGGGGAGGAGGAGGAGGAGGAGGAGGCGAAGGAGAGAGGAGGGAGGAGGAGGAGGAGGAGGAGGAGCAGGAGGAGGAGGAGGAAGAGGAGGAGGAAGAAGAGGAACAAGAGGAAGAAGAGGAAAACAAGGAAATTATAGGAAACAAAGGACAACATAGGAAAAAGAGGAAGAAAAGGAATAATAATAATAATGATAATAATAATAATAGTAATATTAATAATAGCAATACTAATAACAATAATAATATTACTAATACTATTACTACTACTAATACTACTACTAATAATAATATAATAATAATAATGAAAATAGAAAAAGATGATGATGATGATGATGATGATGATGATGGTACTAATGATTAAAATCATACGATTAATGTTAATAATATTACTACTAATAATAATAGTAGTGATACTAACGATACGAATAACAATACGAAGAGGAGGAGGAGGAGGAGGAGGAGGAAGAGGAAAGAGGAGGAGGAGGGTGGGACACGAGGATCCGCAGGGACAGAAGGATGATGAGCATGATTATGATGAGGGCGGAACGATAAAGGGTAATGAAGAAAGGGGTTCTCGCGACTCGCATAGAGCACGGGTCTGATACATGACGGCGTGACGTAGGCCAGTCTCTCAACGGAAGTTGTGGTTGGCGGGAAGCTCAGCCGTTTGTAGTGAGTGTTTCGGTGGCGTGCTTGTCTCCGATAAGAACCTCCCGTCAAACCACCGCGTCTCCCATGCTTCGGTTGCATATTACAACCTTCTTTGTTTTCGCACGCCAGGACGAAGAACAGCGCCAGGCGAAGGCGTCCGAGGAGAAGGCTTCATTTGGGTTGGGGCCCTGCGCGACCTGCGCGCGTTCTTATCTACACATCTCCATCCCTGTCAATATACATGCCAGCTTTCGCCTGGTCGGTCTCTTTATTGGTTCATGTTTGGTTGAGTCTTGGGCTCTGTATCATTCTCCGCATCCGTCGCTTCCGCAGTCTGCCTTTCCATCTCCGTCTTTACCTTGTTCCTCGCCGCTCATATCCTTCGCCTCGTTCTTCTGAGTCCTTCGATGCGTGCGTCTGGGTCGAATCCATCATCCAGACTGGGTTCCAGGCTCCAGCCTCATTCAGGTCGACGCAAGATCTGGCAGGGATCAAGAAGGGCTCAACACGGAGGAATCCGATTGGGGGCTCCCAGAGCGCTCAGGAGCAGCGGGGGCGAAGGATCGGCTCGCTTGGAAGGACAGTGGCTGCAGGCGCCGTCTTCGTTTGGGGGATGCACGGGGGGTCAAATACGGGGGGTGAAGTTCGAGCTTGGCGTCATCAGCTGCACCGCTGCAATCCGCGCCTGCGAGAACAGCGGGCAGTGTCGTCGCAGTGGGCAAGGTGGTTGATCAGCGGGGTGTGGGAGGCGGAAGCAGAGCACAACCTCCTCGATTACGTCGCTGTTGTCAGTGCGTTCAAAAAAGCGCGGGCAGCGTTAGCAACCGTTGCCGTCGCTTGCCGAGTCGCGCGAGTCGCCCTCGCGACGCGACGCCATCGGCGACTGCACTGGGGTCTGTGCGTGCAAGAGAGGTGGCCAGCGGTGGCAGGCAGCGCCGCCGTCTAGCAAGGTCGGAGGCAGGACCCGAGCCAGATGGCACCGGCTCGTCTCCACAACGTCGGCCTCAAGGAGGAGAGGAGGAGGAGGAGGAGGAGGAGGAGGAGGAGGAGGAGGAGGAGGAGGAAAGGAGGAGGAGGCTTTGGGCTAATGCTCAGTCGCTTCGTTTTGGTCAGTTCCCTATCATTTCCGTCTCCTTCCCCTCTCCTTCCCTGTTCCTTCCCTCCAGCGGGCGCGCGCGCGCGCGCCCAAGGGAGGGGTCGGTTGGCTCGCACCCCTCCGCCGCGTGTCCGTCTCCTCCGCCTTCCGTCTCCTCCGCCTTCCTCCCTCCTCCCCCTCCCCTTGTCGCTGTTTGTGCTCTGTCGCGGTCGCCCGGGTGGTCTTTGGCTTTCCACCTGGGTGTTGACAAAACCTCCTTGATGGGCACACCTCCGTAGTTAGTTGTTTCTTTGTGGACGTTCGGCCGACACGCCTGGGCCTGGTGGACACCAGACCTAAAATGAGGCTGGTGCCAGGGCCGCGGATTCAGGAGGAGGAGGAGGAGCAGGAGGAGGAGGAGGAGGACGAGGAGGAGGAGGAGGAGGAGGAGGAGGAGGAGCAGGAGGGGAGGACGGAGGAGGAAGTGAAGAGAGGACGAGGAGGAGGACGAGAGGAGGAGGAGGAGGAGGAGGACGAGGACGAGGACGAGGAGGAGGACGAGGACGAGGACGAGGAGGACGAGGAGGGCGAGTAGGACGAGGAGGAGGAGGAGGAGGAGGAGGAGGAAGGAGGAGGAGGAGGAGGTCCCGCCCCGCCTCGGCCCGCGCCTCGCGAAGGCCGCCCGTGCTGCTCCTGGTGGGCAGGAGCCGTCGGCGCCGGAGCCCGTCGCGGCGGCGGGCGGCCTGGCCGAGGCCGCGGGGCTGCCAACGGCGTTCGGTGGTTCAACAAGGGCTCCCTCGGGGGCGCGAAGTTATTCGCGCTTCGCGGTCCTCGTTCCTTCTCCCCCTCCTCCTCGTCCTCCTATTCTCCCTTTGGGAGGGCGGCGCGAGAGCGCGAAGTTATTCGCGCTTCGCGCAGCGCGAAGCGCGAAGTTGGGAGCCCTAGTGTCTGCAGCGGGAGGCCTCGTCAAAATGCAGGCTCGGCCTCGTCATTTTTTGGCGACCTCGTCGGGGATTTCCGAGTCCCCTGTGCCCAGGTCTTACGTCCCCCTGAGAGAGGGCGGGGCGATGAGCCCCCCGAGCCGGAAGGGCCCGCGGTGCGCCCGCCAAGGTGGTGGACTGCACGCAGGGGTGATCAAACGACGCGAAGATCGGGACAAAATCGGATCGGGATAACTCGAAATCTCTGAGAATCGGCGGGTTTGGAGGATGTATTGGGCGCCGCGGCCGCTCCAGAGCGTTCCGGAACGCTCTGAGAGCGCTCCGGAACGCTCTGGAGCGATTTATCCCGATCCTGGCCCTGTTTTAGGGGGGGTCCTAAGGAAGAGGTGCCCCAGACAATTCGGGGGGGGGGAAAGAGGGGGGTGATGACTAGGGGGGGGGGATATCATGGCGGGGGCCATGATATTTCCCCAGATTTCATGGCGCCTCTTCTTATTTCATTGCGTCCCTGGCCGTGGCCGCGCACATGCCGCCGGTCATGATTTGCACCCCCCCCTCTTGGACACCCCCCTCTTGGCCGCTCCCGAACAATGTCAGTCCACCCTTGGGTCCCTTCCTGTCCTCAGGACCCCATTCCCCAGGACTCCATCTTTGAACCACGCTGCCAACGTGGGTCAGGGAACGAACCCATCTGAATGCTCACGTCTCCTTCGTCCAGGAGCCGTTCAGAGCGATTTCCCTCCCAGCCACACCTCCCTACTCCTACCCCACACTTACGCCCCCCCGAGCAGGGACCAGGGCCGTGGCTCTTCGGTGACACGCAGGAGTGGCCTCTCGTCGAATCGACCTCTGGTGCGGGCCCAACGGGGCCCCCAAATCGCTGAAATTCGCCGAGTGCGAGGCGATGGCAGTGACTTTCAGGAGAGGAAAAAACACACAGACACAATTAATCCTCGATTCTCAGAAAATATGGGAAAATATGGAAAGTGGGGGGGAAGACAGAAACCCAGAAAATATGGGAAAATATGGGGAATCTTTTTATTTGTGTGTATTTATTTGTGTGTCCTGGGGCCCCTTCAGTGACTTGCGCGCCTGGATTTGGCCCCCCGGCGGCCCCAGAAGCCGCGCACCAGAGGCCACGCTTGCCCGGGGTCGCTCTCTGCGTGCAGCCGACAGCAGCGTGGCTCTAACACCTGTCAGGAGGGAAAGAAACACACAGACACAATTAATCGTCGAGCGCCAGGAAAATATGGGAAAATATGGGAATTGGGCGGGAAGACAAAAACCCGGAAAATATGGAGAATAGTTTTATTTGTGTGTATTTATTTGTGTGTCCTGGGGTCCCTTGAAAGAAGGTCAGGGGCAACGTCAGGAGGAGGGACAGGCTCAGGGGAGAGGGGGATGTCTCGGGACCAAGGTCGGAGGTCTGTGACGCTTTCGCCCGTTCTCGGCGGCTTTCCAGCCTCGGGGTGCTCCACAGCAGCTGCGCCCCGGCGAGAGCGTTCCAGCGGTGCCCGGATCGTCCTGATCAAGGGCGCCCTCGAGGGCGCGAAGTTATTCGCGCTTCGCGCTTCGCGGTTCGGCTCCGATTCCTCCTCTTCCTCCTCTTCTCCCCTGGGAGGCGGCGCGAGAGCGCGAAGTTATTCGCACTTCGCGCTTCGCGCAGCGCGAAGCGCGAAGCTGGGAGCCCTTGCTGATCGGCCGCCAGAGAGCTGAGCTATGGCCCGGAAGCCGAGGGCAACGTTTGAGGGGGGACACGTAGGCTCAGGGGTCGCGTCTGTTGTCAAACACGTACTACTGGGTTCTGGCAACACGGATTTCGCACAACGTGCCCCTCAGGTACCGTTTAAGCGTATAGCGAGCTTGGTCATCCCTCCCTTCTCCGCCCTCTCTCCTTCCCTCCCTTCCCTCCCTCCCTCTCTCCCTCCTCCTCCTCCTCCTCCTCCTCCTCCTCCTCCTCCTCCTCCTCCGCATGAAGTGAGGTGAGGAAGAGGAGAGGCGAGTGGTCAGGGGCAACGTTAGGGGGGCATGCGCTCGGGGGGGGGGGTGCGTCGACGACGGGGGCCCGATAGCCCATCCCGCCCAGGAGCGTGCGGATTCGCTATCGGGGGCCCGTCGACGATGTTCGGGGGAGCGTAAGACCCGGGTTTGCCAGGACTCGGGTTCGCCATCGTTTTTTGACGACCGCGACTCGGATTTTGACGAGGAGGAGTTTTGTGGGATGTCTGCAGCGGGAGGGCTCGTCAAAATGCAGGCTCGGCCTCGTCATTTTTTGACGACCTCGTCGGGGATTTCCGAGTCCCCCGTACCCGGGTCTTACGTCTCCTTGAGATGTGCCAGCGATGCATCGCCGATTCCAGCTCGATGTTTCTCCCTCTGTCGTTGCCCCTCAAACTGGGATGGTGTCTAGGGGGGGCAAATCTCGGCCGGGGCCATGATATCTCCCCGAATCTCATGGACCCCCCCCCCGCTGTGTGCAGCGCGCCCCCTGGCCCCCGCCCTCGTCCGCGCACGCGATTCGTGCCATGATGCGCAGCCTCCGCTCCTGGACGCCCCCAACAACGGCACGGCTCCCAGACCTACACCTTGGGCGATGCTTAAGAAAACCTAAGTTTTCGGCCAGAGTCTCGATTATTCTTAACGTTTCAATGTAAATCCTAAGATTTGAATGGAAATTTTGGGTTTTCATTCAAGTTCTGAGACTATGAATTTCTTAACCCATGATTTCTAAAGCATTTCGCAGGGTGTACCATTCCTCGAGAAAAACCCAATGCGGAACTTCCCGTGGGCTGTTTCGGACGCTTCGACAGTATTTCGGGGCCTTCCGGAGTTTCCAAGAGCAGTTCCCAGGAGCCAGCTGGTGTCCTGCAGCGGCGCCTCGTTGAGATTGCCCCAGGGTTGCAGGGATCGTCTGCGTAGCTCGCCAGGGGCCCGAGCCCTGGCCCGAAAAGCAGCGTTTCGGGGAGCTCAGTGCGGCAGTGTTCTTCAGTCTTCGGCATGTCGGGGCCCCCTTCTGGTCCCGGGACTCCTCCTCCTCCTCCTCTTCCTCCTCCTCCTCCTCCTCCTCCCTCCTCCTCCTCCTCCTCCTCCTCCCTCCTCCTCCTCCTGCTCCTCCTCCTCCTCCTCCTCCTCCTCCTCCTCCTCCTCCCTCCTCCCTCCTCCTCCTCCTCCGCCTCCTCCTCCTCCTCAGGAGACTGACGACTCAGGAAACGAGTTGGCTCGCGTAGTTAGCTGGTTGACCTGACCCTTGGACTGTCCCTGCGCTTTCCCGCCAGCCGAACCACACCCCTGGAGGGCCTCCCAGATGGGTTCCGAGCAGGTGGGGCCGGAGGATCGCGCCGCACCGCTGATGCATCGGCGATGACGTGGGGCCCGAGCTTCTCCACGCCGACGCCGCCGATGCATCACCGAAGTCTCCGATGCAGTGGCGATGCAGCGGTGCGGCGCGATCCGCCGACCCCATCTGATCGAGCCCCATTTGGGCAGCCTCCAAAGGCGTGGTCTGGCTGGCCGGAAAGGGCAGGGTCGATCCGAGTCGGGGCTCACGAGACGGGGGTCAACGCAAACGGGGGTCAGCCAGAGCGCCCGATTTTGCAGGATCTTGCAGGGCCAGGGTTGCATTGACCCGGGTTTGGGTGCAGGATCCTGCAAGATCCTGCAGGATCGTTCGCATTGACCCGGGCTTGGGTGCAGGATCTTGCAGGATTCTGCAAGGCCCGACTGGCCCGGGTCTGCATTGACCCGGGTCAGAAGATCCCCGACCGAGGGTCCGTTCAGCCAGGGGTGGCCCTGCGGGGGTCGGTCGGCTGGCGTGGGGCGCTCCAGGAGAGGGGAGAGGGGGCCTCGCCCGGGCCTTCTCTGACGGCGGCGGGGCTTCGCAGAAGCCCTCGTGCCTTCGGAGGCTTCGAGGAGGCTCGGAGGAGGATCGAGGAGCCTTCGGAGGCTTCGAGGAGGCCTTCGGAGGCTTCGCAGAAGCCCGCTGCGGTCTCGGAGGAGGCTCCGAAGAGCTTCGCAGAGGGCCAGAGGCCTTCGGAGCCTTCCGAGGAGGCCCGCCACCTCCGCCATCGCCCTTGGGGCGTGCCGCCGATTCTGATCTCGCGCGCGCGCGCACGGTCTGTCTCGGCAACTGGGACACGTTACGCAAGTATGGCGAATCCGACCAGGGGATCGGGGGGATATCGAGGCGTGGATGGGCGATCAGGAGGAAGGGGAGGCGGAGGAAAGGGAGGAGGAAACTTCGCATCACGCGGCGAAACCCCGATGCCCGCACGCAGCCCAACTCCGCCACAGCCCAGCCCTTTTCCCGGCAGGGGCGCCGCGAGGACGCGACGACGCGCAGGCGGTCGCGCTTTTTGTTGCGGGGCGCGATGCGCGATGTCAGGTGGCCCAGGCTACTTCACGCGCGCGCACCCTCGGCCACGCGGCCCAATCCCGCCGCAGCCCAGCCTTGGCAGGGCACGGCGGCTTCCGAAAGGGCTTCTTGGATGCCCCGAGGGCTTCCAGGAAACCGCCTGCCTTCCTGAAAGCGCCCCCCCCCCCCCCGCCTCCTTCAGGAAAAGGAACGGAGGAGGAGGAGGAGGAGGAGGAGGAGGAGGAGGAGGAGGAGGACCTCTCCTGTGCCCGCAAGTTAGCGCCTCCGCCTCATCCTGGAGCGGCCCACGCGCGGCACCCTCCACTGGACGCACGCGGCGCAGGGCACGCCACGCGAGGCACGCACGGCACTGCAGCTCTCTTTTAAAACGCGCTGTAGGAGGAGGAGGAGGAGGAGGAGGAGGAGGAGGAGGCGGAGGAGGAGGAGGAGCAGGATATCT